TGGTTTTCTGCAGATTAAAATAGGCATTTGGCCAGATTCAATGCCAATTTAAACTCTGTATAAGCAGACTGATGGTGAATTTTTTTTTGTCTTCAACTAAGCTATCTACCCTAGGAAGTAATACCTACTGATTCCATAAAAAGTATGCTTTAAGGTTATACTGGATGGGGTTTCTGCTATGGATTCTGTCTCTTGAGATGAACAAACTGAAGTAAACCCCCAATGATGAGTATGGAAACAAGTCACAGGTGCAAGGTGGTGATAAAATGAATTTGCATTTGAAATACGAGTCCTGTCAGTATTTCATTTTATATATATGAGATCAACATTTATAAGTGGTAGATACGAGTAGTGTGTCTCAGATCTGAGGACGTCTTAGATTTGATTTGTTGGACTATAGAATGATTTTAGCAATTATTATCTGTTATAACAGCTATTCATTTACTAACCTTTGATAAACTGTTATAAATGAAAACCTAGTTAATATAGCTGCAATATGTTTATGGTGAAGGAACATGGCTTACCAAAACTTCAATTTCTGCATGTGACAAAAGGTGAAGGACATGGTTTCTTAGTGACTTGGTACAAAATGAACTTTGCTGCTGAAGAACTTCAGATCTTTTTTGGGCATTGGCTGTCACTTTAATGTTCAGCAATTAAAACTGATTTTAAAAGTTTGCTGTGCTACCGTTATCACCGAAGGTCACAAATTTATTAAATTGTTCTTAATTTGAAACTTGAGGTGTTCTTTTGATTGAAAATCTAGATAATTCCAGCCTTTGTTCACAGAAGTTACCAGTGTTGAGTCTTTATGTATAATACTGTTTATGCACCATTTTTATTACTTTTGCATGTGTTCAGTGCTTGGTGTTTAAAGGTAAGTACGTGAATGTAGCCTGAAAAGAAATTGGTAAATTGGTACCCAAGCATTGCACACAAAAAGCTGTTTGTGGTGTTTGTTCCCTGGAAGATTACATGACATAAAGGGGAATGTTGCTGAAGAATGTCTTAATGTTGCAAACTTGGCTAATGGTAGTGAAAATGTGATGTCGACCTACTACTGGATTGTCTTAATTAAAGGGATAGTATTTAGAAAAAAACCACATAGTTTTTGTGTCGTGATGGGGTAGGAAAAGCCCAAATACTTTAAGTCAATGAAGTAAAAATGTGTTTTTTAAAAAATACTTCGTTTTCAGGGTAGTGGCTGGGTTATGCTATGGCAATGATCTGTTATGCTTAAGATGGCATTTTTATTGTTAAATTTCAATAACTTATATATTGCATATTCCATACTGTATCCCTGCTGCCATTGACTATGTAACCTGTCAAAATCTTTTACAGACTATGTGTCCTGTCTGTTTGGACCGTCTGAAGAATATGATCTTTCTCTGTGGCCATGGAACATGTCAGCTTTGTGGAGACCGAATGAGTGAATGCCCTATATGCCGCAAAGCAATTGAACGAAGGATCCTTTTGTATTAAGTGGTAGAACCAGTGTCTTTTATTAGCTTATGAACTAGTAAGGACATTTTGATGATTTAAATCTCTGTAAGTTTGAAAGGCAGTAATTAGAAAATAAAATTTTCTAATGAAAACATTTCTAATACTGTAGCACAGGTTCATTACATGGTAATTGTTTAAAGACTGTGAACACACCAAATAAGAGAACAGTATTTGAACAATCAGCTTTTAGCTTTACTCTTAAAAAAACATCTAAGCCTGAAACTAATTTAAAGCAGTCTTTTTTTCATTTTCTTTCTGTTGTCTTCTTCCCCTTAAAGTTTAAAGGGACAATCTTATTTTGGTTTCGTTCATGTTTTTTGATGTGTGTATCAGGTGTTAAGTGATGTAAGGGGTTTTTTTATACTGTCTGTTAATATCAAATATAAATATTTAGGATTTTATGCTTTGCTGGAGAATGTTGAAATTTCTCGTGACAGTTATAATTCACAATAATTTCTGTCTTGAAATATACAATAATGCAAAATCAATACTAAGTGTGTACACGGTAGTAATAAATATAATATTCCCATAAGATCAGGCCTCGAAACACAATGTTAAGGTAATTCTAACTTTATCATGCCCTTTGTTGCTGAGAATGGGTTGGAAAGGAAACAGTAAAAAGAAAAATCTACTTTAGAAATGTTATGTTCCCAAAACTGCACTGCAGTCGAACAGGTTCAAGCTAACTTAAATAGTGAACTTAATTCTGCTGGCCACGTAATTTTGTATGGAATTGCTTTTAACTTGACTGGAAAGGAAGACATTCCAGCAATAGGTCAGTTATCCATATCAGATGAGTGAATTTCACAGAAACACTAGGTTGGAAAGGACCTTCAAGATCATCAAGTCCAACCATTAATCCAGCGCCACCATGTCCCCTAGACCACGTCCTGAAGCGCCACATCCACACGTTTCTTGAACAATTTGATCAGCTGTAGAGGAACATATATATATGCGGGGCCATTTAAAAATTCTGGGCCAATGAATTAGCAAAAACTAGAGATGTTGCAAGATTTCTGTTCTTAAATTAGTTTTATTGTCTCCAGGCGAACAGTATCAGCAGGCAAAGAGAAGATTTAATATTGCGTATTCATCTAAGTTGAGTGTTACAAACAGAACTTATCTGTGAACATTACTGGGTAATACTGCAAATGAAGATATTGCTGACAGAGCAGTGAATTTTATGAACCATGCCTAGGTGAGTTGAAGTTGGCTGACGGAGTTAGCTGTCACTGATATGACAAAGGTGTTCCTTGTCATGGGTGACCGTCCTTTTGGGTGACCCTGAAAATGCTGCTGGTCAGGAACTGCAAACTATTAGCATTTTGATAATAAGTACATCCTTCCATCTTTTTGGATGGAAGAAAGTATGCTGATTTAAGTATCTCTTGTAGCTAAAAGGAATGTGTGCTTACTCCCAAGTGATTCGGCAATTTTCTGAGTGCATAGTTCATGTAGCCCTTTGCCATTGTGCAGACTTCATTTGGATGTGCTCTTGCAGAACAATAAAGAAATACATGCTGGAGTCACTTAGGTGCCTTACTTGCAGCTAAGATTAATTTCTCATTTAACTTTCATTGAGTATGTAAAAAAACGTGGAAAAAGGGGTAGCTCAGGGGAAGGTCCAAGTAAGGATAACGGCATAAAATTATGATCTCTTCAGATAAATTGATCTCAATCATTTGAAGCTTATGTTGATATGCCTGAATTGCGCAAATATTGGCAGAAGTCTCAGAAGAATTTTACTAGTAAACTGTAAAGATAAGTGGACTTATAACCATTAAGGTCTAAACACTGAATAGAGTTTTCCAGGAAACAACTACAGTGATATATTTGAAAACACATGTTGAGTAGCTTTTGACATAGCAAAGTGATGTAATACACAACCTTTCTATAGCCACCTTTAATCCTTATCCGCAATTGCAAATGTTCATCATTCCTTTCAGTAATTTTTCAATGGCACAATCTCAATCTGGAGTCGATATAGTAGTCTGTTTTATTTTGTATACTAATAGTAATCTGTTCTCAGATAATCTGTGTATCTATCTTCTTGGCCAAATGAAATAGCCTTCCCTTTTCTTGCTTCTTGGGTCCCTATTCTAAAATATCAAAATTTCAAGGAGCTTTGGAAAGCTTTTGATACAAGGCTTTTTTTCAGTTCAGCATTTCATTATCTCCACTTAAGCTCTTAATGTTCACTGCAATTTTCATTTGGGCAGTATGCATGTCACTAAGTCTGATTTTTTTTTTTTTTTTGGTAGTGTGTTTGACAGATGAACTCTCTGGCTTCAGTTTCCTGTCAGTCTTCCTTTAAAAATAATTTAGGATGGGTCATTTGACAATCCATTCTGAGTTTTAGCCTGTAATACATCAGATCTGTACCGCAGTTCCCTCTGACTCTGGTAGACATATTTTGAATATTGTGTCCTATTTATTCTTCAAGGGAACCTCTATAAACTGTTGTCAGCACAAAGGCAGGATGTATTTCTTCTTGATAATGCAGCTCAAAACTGAAACCTCCATACAGCAGTTGGCATTTTCATAATTCTTTTTCACTGGAACAAACCAGAATTACTTGAAAGTATTCCAACTTAGCATCAATTGAATAATTCAGCTGAGTAAGAACTGATCTAAAGCATCCTGGGTGGGAAACTGGAGTTGAATGTTAAATACTCCTTGTCTGCAGGAGGCACATACTGTAGCATAGATAGGCAAGTGCTCCGTTAGGCTTGTACTTTTCAACAGGGAAGCCTAAGTTATTTTTTAACACTCTTAATACTTGGATGCCATCACAGTCGTATGGAAATACAGGCAACGACTGAAGGTATTGCTATAGGAGCAGCTGTAGTCTTCTATACTGTAGTCACACCAGGTACATGGGACTGCGTACAAGTTTGTGATTGGACTCATTTGGCAATGTTGTGTGCCAGTTGAAATTAAAGTATGTCAACTTGGTGCTATTATGGTGCCATGAGAAACGGCTGAATCAGGAAAAACTAGGCAAGCTAACCAACACGCTTGAATTATTAATATAGGCCTTTTATTAACAGGTGAAAGAGCTGTATCTTGTATTGGGAAGGCTACACAGTGCTTGCCTTTCAAAAAACTTAATGAGGAAAAATGTTTGCAAACACAGTATCATTTATAGAAATAGATATTTAGATTCACACACTGTCTTTGGATTCTGATGTGGAAGGTGAACTAGTGTTGTTGAAGCTAGTAAGTTCACTCACTCAATTTAGTCTGGTGTCATCTGTGCAAAGTGCACAGAGTGCAAATGTTCAATTGGATAACACTTAAATAATTGAAGGATGAAAAGCAGAAGCTCGGTTGGAAGCCAAAGGGGATCATAACAAGTAAGAGAGTTGAGGATATGTCATTGTGCCTCTGTCTTCAGCAAAAGATGAAAGTATAAATCTCATAATAATTATCGTCACTGTTACTAGGGAGCAAAGTGAAAGTGAGAGAAAAAAACAGTAAGGCATTTATCTCAAACTGTAAAATTGTAAAATGTAAGAATTGCAAGCTTTGTTTTTTATGATTGTCCCCCAGTATTTAATAGCAGTTTTGAAATTAAATTGAATGAAATCTCAGTTTGTTTCTTGAAACAATCAATATACACCTAATAATATATATTGCTCAGGTTTGAGGTATGCTCAGATGTTCATGTAAAATACTTTCAATTTTTTTCCATTTAGTAAAATACATGAATGGTCACATCAGTACACAGTGATTTAAAGTATAAAGACAACCTAAGAGGCTAACAAATCTGCTAAACAGTTGTAGCTTGTTAACTTCTATATAACTATGTTTGACTTTTTTTTCCACAAACCTACTGTCTATCACTTACTAGCTCATATGGCACTTCTCAAAATTTGGGCTCTTATTATCTACTTCCCATTTGTTGAAATACTGTGTACTTGAGTGTTGGAGTTCGGAGGGATCCCTTTTTGCTAAGTGGATACTGAAAATTACAGTGACAAGACAATAAACAAGTTACTTTGTAAATGTGAAAGTTTGATTAGGAGGTGTCATTCTTAACTTGGACTGGATGAGGATATACCAGATTTGCACAAGTACTTGTGCCTTGTTAGCATAGTCTTACAATTGGTATTTTAGCTTCTTCTGAAGACATGAAATGGTCTTTTAAAAATAATCTAAGTACTTATTGTGTAGATACTTTCTAGAGATAAAGTTTTATGTATGCCTAATTATTTTTAGCAGTATTAGTTGCAGTTTCTGTAAAAACTAAATTGTTTGAAGAAGCTGCTTTAAGCTAGTGATCTAAGCTTTCTCTACAGAATCAAATGTCAGAAACTTAATTTTACTCTTCCAGTAGCAGCTGGTGAACCGAAGAGCCTATCCTGTTCTTTGTGCTGCATGGGTCAAGTTTTCACTTAAAAGAAACCCAACAACACTACAGCCTAACTTTTAGCAGTGCTACCTCCTTTCTGTCAAAGTACTGAATTCTTTTCCAGTTGTTCTTTGTCTTTGGGAAGGGATGGGGAACACATCCATTTTGTTTTGCTTCCTCAGTTTTGATGTCTGAATACATTGCAAAGGTTTTTTTACTGACTGTATAAATTGCGTACAATAGAAGTGTGTGATTTGCCACTATCATTCTTCTGTCAGTTGCTGGAATTCATACTCTTGTCTTTTTATGCATTTCATAACTTGTTTGTGTTGACAAAGCAAAACTGTTATCCACAGAAGTTTTAGTATGTGCCGTTTTTATAGCCAAGACTGTGGTAAATACGAAAGTTCTGACTCAGGGCTTTTTAACAACTTAAACACGTTCACAATATTCTTCAGCACATCTTGGAGAATATTAGAGATTTAGTGACTGTACAGTGCCTTGATAGAACTATTGAATGGGCAGCAGCCATAGAGTCCTTATAGAATGCAAGTATCTTTTGAATCGAGTTGATGTTAATATAATTGTAATACCCCTGCCATGGATTTATAAACTTTACTTTCTGTAAAGGAAAATCGGCAAATTTAGATATGGTTAAGCTTTCTGAAAGTTGTTTGGTTGTTGCAGCAGTCATGGGGGTCTGAAGGGCATAGTATTCATATTTACAGAAGCAGCATTTGTGGCGAAGACAGCTAATAAAATGTTACGTATGTGACATTTTTAGTGAGGGGAGAGGTCATTGTAT